GATACTTTGAGCAGAGATGCAGAGATCACACCCCCAGTTATAATGAGGTGTATTTTAAGCACTTAGGGGCCATTTTTAGCCTGACACTGGGCCAGATGTGAAGCGTGTCACTCAGACCTCAGTGGAGTTGGAGTGTGAGGTACTTCTTTCTTCCTTTAATGATTAGAGCTGCTTTTTATGGAACTGTTTCTTCCTGGCTTCAGGTGGAGGCTTTTGACCTGTCAGGACCCTGCTGCTAATCAAGAAGAGCAACCAAGGCAAACCAGAACAACTTCCCCAATTGGTCAGATATTAAACATGAGGACATCACACATTTACAAGAACAATGACCCTACCTTAAGCACAATCATTTCTGGCCTGACCTTAATATAAACCCAAACCTTTACCTATTTAACCCATATCTAAGTTCATTTATTAAGTCATGGGTCATTAAGTCATGGTGATCGGTTCTTTATCTCCATATGGGAAACAGATGAACATGTACACATTTTAGTCCAGACAATTTAATAAATACATTGTGCATTTAGAAGAAAGTAAACATTTAGTATGAGGAAAAACTACAAGCAAAGTTGAGCAAGCTACAGCAAACATAATACAGTATGAAATAACTGAGTCAGAATATCTACCACTCATGGGCTGTTTCTGATCTGGGATCAGTTTGTAAAAAATTGGCCTCCCTGATTGAAAGTTGTCAGTTCAAGCACAATACATGTTACTGTTGTGTCCTTGGGCATGACACTTTCCACAAGCCTTCAGTATCTGCCTATACACTGTTTATTCCTAGAAGTAAAACAGCTTTAGGGGTAAAATGTTTGAATCATCTGACAGTGATCCTTATTGCACTGTGTGTAAAGCATTTGGTCATAATGTTGTCATAATGTCTCTGTCTGATTGGTCCATTTGTAAACAATGCAGCTTAAACAACAAAAGTTACACAGAAAACACCAAATAACACCAAAAAACAAATCCCACATCAATTTCTGGGAGTGAACCGGCTGTAGTCATTACAGCAACGAACTGAAGGCAGCAATTGGTGTCAAACACTGTTTACCTGCTCCTTCCACAAAGTGACATTTTCACCAGTGAGTGCAGCGTAGAACACACATCACGGTGGCATTTGAAGTAATTGGCATCAGGAGCATGAAGAGTATGTGAGCAGCTTTTGTTTTAGTCTGTAACTCTGTAACAGAGAGGCCACTGAAACTGAAAAAACAGCCAGCCACTTACTTAAAAATGATCCCATTTTAGATTTGGAAATCTGTAAATTAACACATCTTAACCTAACTGTGTGTTTGTAATCCTATAGTTCATAATGCATGTCTAATATATTTTGAATCACACATACATGCACACACACACACAGACACGCACACGCACACGCACATGAAGGGTTTCCCCTTATAGAAAAACTATTTTTCTGTAAGTTACTTTGGGTCTTTGTTGGTTGCAATATCCTGGAAGAGAAAAGTATGGTCATCTAAGTAAAGCTGGTAGTGTTTATAATAATGGCACTGGCAATGGTACAAGCAGAAGACATGTTGCAAACCATGATAACATATTAAGTTATTGTTAACTTATTGAAGGAAATATATTTGCTTTGACACTGATCTGGAAGACTTTTTGCATCCTCTTCATCTCTATTTCCTCAAGTGGCAACTTAAGATGCAATTTGTATAATAGCACTTGATATTATAATGGTTTTTAAATCACATTATAAGTTTATTTAGGCTCTTGTGAACTGTCAGCTTCCTCTTAATTTACTTGAGTATAGATTAGGTCACTTCTCACATCCTCAAGATTATTTTTATTGCTCTTGGAGCTGCCTTTAGCTGAGCAATACAAACCAAGTATCTTTTTAAGAAATAAGTCAAGAATCGCTTATGGCGTTACCACTCAACATTTCAAGGCTTCTCTATTCAAGGACACAAGCACACTCTCATATCACCAGAAAGTCCCGGCCAAGGAGACTGAATAGAGAGCCAAAATGGTGACACACAATCCTACATGGAGGTCTCCAGTACACCAATTTGCTTAGTTAATTTTAAGCGATTTGTATGTAAGAGTTGTAGATACTTGAGCAGGTTAAAATCATTTCCATATGCCCTCTAATCATTCTGCCTCGTCCCACTCAGGAGGGGCGCACTGAGGCCGGCATCTTAATGAATGTGAATAAACAAGCGTGCCGCAAACAGGGGAGTCATTATTATGAATTATTAGGTGGAATTTATGCCGTGTTGTTTTTAATGGCATATAACCTTGAGGCTGTCCGCACTTTGTAACGCACTCACACTCATAGACACACAGTTTGGAAACGGGGCAATGCTTCTGACAGCTTATCAGGGCAGGAATTCACGGGGCCTTGGACATTCAAAACTCATCACTCCAATATCATATTAAAAGAAGTAACCCTTTCAGGACTAGTCACAGAGATACAGCTAAACCATGTGGCACTAAAAAAGATGAGATCATTTGGATATGCTGCTGTCTCTTGTGACTGCTGAAAGTAAAGAAAAAAACTGACTGAAATTACAGCCTTGTTTCAGAAACCCATAAGATTTAACCTGTATCAAAAAGTGCATAATTAACGGCACTTTATTACAGCTTCATAGAAATGGTAATGCTTTCTCCAAAATAATCCACAGTATGGTAATAAATGTATATCTTCAGGACACAAGGTGATGCCACCAGGTCAAGTAACAGGTAAGATATGTGAAAAGGTATGAAATCATGTATTTTGATGTGATTGTCAACTGTTTATCAACACCTATAATTGAAGAGATGCAAAACAAGTTTAATGTTATACTGTGAAACATTTAAGGAAAAGCATCAAGGAAGCCCCTCTCCCTCTAAAAGAAAGTTACTCAGTAGACCTTTAAATAATTTTTTTTAGGGTTAGGCTAAAAAGTATATTCAGGGTTAGGGTAAAAAGTATATTCATCTTATACAGACACTGTGCCAAATTTATATTACATCACAGGAGTAAGTAAAAAATATTAAACATAAGTAAATAGTAAAAAAAAGTAACACACACACACAAAACACACCAACAAGTTACCCATCCTGACAATCTTTATAAGCCTACACCATGTGCCCAAATAAGAAGAAGAAAGTGAATATCTATGAAAAACAAAAAAATGGAGGAGAGAAAGGACCCCAGAAAAGACTTAATTGGGAATTGAAGGGAAGATAACTTGTAGTACTATTTGGAACAATGTATGTCACATTTGTGTAAACCTACCAAAAGGAGTCATGAAGAGTCAGAACATCCCCAAGTCACTTTGTAAGTGATGGAGGCTGTGGTGACTTCCATTTCAGCAATGGATCCATACTTTTATGACCCTCATTGCAGAAAGGGTTACAAACACAAGGGAGTTACGCTAGAAGTTGGAAAGGGAAGGTGGCCCAACAAAATCCCAAATAAGGCACTCTAAGGATTTGGGTGAACATAACCAAAATGCATGAATAAGATTTAAGCTGTCGAGATGTTGGGGTGTATTTTGGATAAGCGTGATGTTATAGTAAACACACTGAACAAGCTTAGACTGTATGAGACTCTTTTACTCCTAACAGTGCTTACCTTACCTGACCTTCTTTGTTTCAAGTGCAAATAAGGAATGTAGTCCATCTCCAATCTAGCAAATGTATTTTTTTGTTGAAATATTTGCATCTGTATAAACAAAACTCCATTGATGTTGTTTGTCCAGGCAGATGTGGCTGCAGTTCTGTGTTTCGATCAACAGGTGTCAGCGCGCTCTCTTTCATATGAGTGGGACCATGTTCAGGAGCCCCACTGTGAAAAGCCTGTTGGTCTTTGATCACAGATTCATTCTGATCCACAGCTGAAGAATAATCAGTGTTGTAAAAATGGGACATGGGCCTCTGCAGAGAAACTGGCTCCAATTACCATGTCCAGACCAGTGCAGATGTAGGCCACAGCTTTTTGTCTAACAACTCTGGTTTAGTCCATGAATTTGAATACAAGGATTTCAGAGAACGCTCATTTTAACATGAAGGGGTCCATCTTTAAAAATGAATTTATCAAGAGTGTGAGATGGTGGAAAGAGAAGACAAAAGAATCTTGTTGACCCTTTTCAAAACATCTTCATTATTTCCAAATTCTTAAAAGCCTTCAAGGTTTAAAATTAAGTTGGGTAATGTGAAGCAATTTAACACATTGAGTCTATAGCCTTTACATGGGTTTGAACTTCCTGTATATGGGTGATAGTTTGAGAACTTTAGATAATTAAAAACATATAATATATAATTTTGAATTGTGGATTGGTATGGCAGCAGTGCTTGATTTCCTTCTTTTCTTCCTTTATGGATGAGACTTTGTAATCAATCATTTACCAAGGCGTGGTCCAAGGTAGAGGACTTATTCAGCTATGTGCTGTATAAATCCTAGTGTCTCAAACCAGTACCATCCAGATGACTTCCTCTGAAAGTTCTACTTTCCTTTATAGATGATATAGAACATAAATAAACAACACTTTAAGCAATAATGCATGTTTCTAAATAAAAAAGCTTCAGAATTTTAGTGGGTATCTGTCTTTGATATTGTTTTCCAACAACTGAGTAATTATTATCTCCAAAACACAGTAGCTAAATGTGTTTACTACACTCCTAACTTGTTTCCTTCATGCATTTCCAGCTGATTTTTTGGCCTACAGTGACATCAAAGCTTCTTCTCAGAGCCAGTTGGAGCTGAACAGTAGCAGCGATGGATGGTTTAGTTGGCTGTATATTTTTGTGTGTGTCTGTTTGAGAACGAGGGAGTATTGGATCTGGGCCTGTATCTCAACACATACCTTTTTCCATTCCATTCCATTAAGATGCCAGGCACAAGGTAGTAGTTTGTAATAGATAGATGTTTATTGGGCTGATTTGGGGCTTGGGACATTAATTTAAATTTAAATTTTTTTTCTTTCGTTGACTCGTTTGACATAAGTCCCGCCTCCCTTACGTTCTGATTGGCTCTCAGTTTACGTGCGGTACTTGGAGTGAACACGTTTCAGGAGCATGATCAATTTGTGAGTTTTATTCGCCTTATTTCGTTAGCTGTACGAAATCAAAAATAACTTTGCAGGCGTGGCATCGATCATCATCCTTACATTTGAAATAAATGACAGCAGTAAAGGTAAAAGTAAAGGGTGGGAGAGACACGTTCAGGTAAATTTTGAATTAAAATGGGGAAATTGGCATAGAGGCTAATGGTGAAGCACAAACGTGTTGATTTTTACATTTTTTAAAGTTTACTTTTTATTACAGGCACACGGGGATTTTGCAGCTAACCTGAGGATGAGGAGCACCAACACTCCAGTCAACTGCAAGGTGCTGTAAGGTGATTATTATTATTATTATTATTATTATTATTTATTTATTTATTTTTATTTTTTTTTTAGCTTACTTACTTCTAGGGATGTAATGATATCCAAATCTCTCGGTACAGTATTACCACGATAAGCATCTCACAGTACGATATTTATTGCGATATTTTGGAGAGGCTAATCTAATTGTAGAGAGGACACTTTTTTTTTTTGCTTTGCTTTTATTTTGGTGCGAATTACTTCCGTCATAATCCCAAGAATTCAAGTAAAAAACATTTCTTCATGTTGTTGTTGCACTGAAATGAATCGTGGGATATGTAGTTCCCTATGTTTATAAGCTGTTGCTATAAAACCATGCATTTAAGCAAAGGAACTTACAATTTGATATATTGTGACAACCCACGATATTATTGTGAGACTTTTGATGATACGATATCACGATATTTTGATTATTGTTACATCCCTACTTGCTTCAAATGTAGAAAATTTTCTTTAGAGCTGTAAAAAGAGTTTGGAAATGAAAACTTTGGTTGTGGTGGAGGATGTAAATATTTAGTCAGAGGTTGGCAGTTTTAATGTTTAATGTCTGTTTGTTTGAAGGCTCTGAAATGAGGGCCTCATGTACAGAATCGAATGTCTACAGATAATAAGATTGATTAGCAGTTAAAAGATTTGTCTCTGCCTCCTGTAAGATCGATCTGATGTTAATGTAGCCTACAAATAATTTGCGTGGCAGACACTTCAACATAATAATCATTTTGTTTTCAAATCTGGACTTTTTTTTCTCTTAAAGACAGCTGGTGAGAAGACAGTGAAGCAGCTGGGACTCCTGGTGGCAACCAAATATGCTAATTACAGCTTGGAAGATTTGAAAGGCTATTATTTCAATATGATATGAACTGTTACGCAAAATTGATACTGATCCCAATGAGACATTAAACCACAAAACTGCATTTCGGACAAACTCAAGAGTGGTGTTTAAGTACTTGCTATATTTCAGACTAAAGTTGAATAATGCAAGGTGGACATTGTTGAATAGTGGTGGCTTTAAGTACATCTTCCGTTAAGATACAGTAATTTCACATCTTCAGTGATCAACTTGAGTCTTTCTAATCAAGAGGTCCACAGTCAATGCACTGTCAGTAAAAGTATCTTGTTTGAGACAGAGTTCAGGTTTTGGAGGAAGAAACATGGTTATGTTTTGGCCCATTAAATGTCTATATTGTTTATTTTCAGGCGAGTAATACTGAAAGGGATTTTTATTTAGTTTCAGTATCAGACAAAAAAAATCATGATACATTTTTTGTCATATCACCAAGCCCTTGTTAGTGTATTCTTTTAGGTGTACACTATCTATCTTAAGCCTATTTGTCTCCATCCACAACCAGAAAAAACGATGAATGTGTTGATATTGGATGCAGAGCGTGTCCAATATATTTCTGTGGCCCATTACATCAACACACTCCCAGTAATGTGACCTAAAAGACTGTCCATTCAGATAAAGTGTAATTAATTTCCATCTTCCATGCAGATATTGATCCTTTCCGCTTTAATAGTGGGAGCTAGAGTGTGATGAAGGCCTGATTTATGAACAGGCGGAGGCGCTGTGATTAAAAGATCATCACTTCAGCCCTGAAACTCGACCAGCCCTCTGATGTTATGTGTCACTCCTGTTTTGTGATGGCATTCATCCACTGCACTACACACTATTACAGTACTGTGTGTGGAGGGAGAGAGGGAGGTCAGGCTTAAGATGTAATCGCAAGTTTATGGACTGGCAGAAAGAAATTGGTGAGAAATATTGTGACAAAAAAGTAGAAACTGGAGTAAACACAATATTATTCTCACTTTAAATAATGGCCCATATTGCTTGGTCATATCAAAATAAGTTTAAAAGTTTGGACATTTATAGTTCAAATGAGGTCAGTGGTTTAATTTTCAGTGTTTTCAGTGTAGCTCCATTTTCAAAACTAGGAATTATTCAGAGGGGAATAGGATACATTTTCACATATCAAAAATGTTAGAAGTTAGATTAGTTAGCTATTCTTTTTATGGAAATGTGCTCTCTACATTTTACTTATCATTGTGTGCATATGGGGCAACCTCTCATGTGGAGCAGTTTTCTTTTAGGCTGACTAACAGCCTGTGTTGGGAAAGTTCATTTTCTACATGAAGTAGTTCAAAGTTCAGTTCGCAAATTTCAAAATGAACTAGTTCGTTCATAGTTCATAATTGTTTACAGTTAATAGTTCGTTCATAGTTCCAAAAAATGAACTGTTTTTTCAATACGTTGCTGCGAGCTATCATTTTCAATATCAGTGCCCATATAGAGTACTAGCACTAGTTAAACAGTCACCCACATAAAAGGTAAGGGGTGGACACAGACAAACCTTAGTAGCTCTTGCCAGACCAGAAAAATCTGAATCATTGTTAAATAAAAAGACATATTTCCAGTCGATAACATTCAAAAACCATTAACTTAAGGACTATCAGAGAAAACCAAGCTACCTTCAGTTTAGAGGATTCTTCTATTAAGGCGTTTATTTATTTGTCCTTGTCATACTTAACATTCAAATTGTACAAATGTTTTCAGTGTTCCAAAACCTTTTTCAGTCTGTTGCTTCCTCTCATTTACGTCTTTCACTGTCAGTGTGAAAATATTTGCATGTAAATGATTATTTGTAATATGACTGACACACTTGAGCAACTTGTGGAATGACTCAGACAAGGATATAAGCTGTCTCTACTCTGTACCCCTCTGGTTGTCCATGCAGCTGAGCCTTGCTGGTGGTCAGATAGATTTAAGCAGCTTGGGCTGTAATCGGCCAGCTGCAGACGAGGCGATACACCAAAACAAATGGAGGCCCGGCGGTCCCCTGTTCCTGATTCACAGTCTGCTGCTGTAGAGTCATCCATCCAGCAAATCTGTTCCCGTCCTAATTAAGTTGAAAAGGCGAGTGAGAGGGTCATTAAGCACTTATTTATTTGGCGGTGCAGCGGTTCAGAACGACAATCGTATTCTCTGCGCAGGTCATATAATTGGTTTGAGCGATGATAAGGCGCGGTGCCATGCAGAGTGATGGGCAAGGGCACTCGGGGGTGTGGTAAACAGTGTCCGCACAAACTTTGATCATTGGCTCCTCTGCGGGACAACAGCGCTGATAAATACCACACAAGCTAAACGCATTTTGGAGGGGAGGTAATACTTTATGACTGGAAATGAAAGGGAGGATGGTTGTCCTTTGAGAAGTGGCAGGAACAAGTGCGATTACATCACAAACAAGAAGAAAGAGGAGAGGATTCAATTTGGGAGGAAGTGTATCACAGGGAGGGAGAGGCCCTTGTGCTTGTCACAGATTGGGACAGTGGACCGTTAATCAGCGCTCACAGCCGGTGTCTACAGAGCTGGAGCTGCAGCCTGCTCTGAAATACAGTCAGTGTCAGAGGAAAGGTCAATGATGTTGTTAGGAAGGCCTGTGAGGACACTGAACAGGTGCTCCTTAGCTGACTGATATAAACTCTGAGACGCAGCCTTCTTCATGTTGGTCACAAAAGAGACTGGTGTCAGGGCAAAGTGAGGTTAAGGAATATCTGATTGATCCCCATGGGAAAATCTGACTCTGTTTTTCATATGTCACAACTGATTTAGCATATTAATTATGTTTTGGGTTAATAGTAATGTGTTGCATATTAGTTGTACATGTATTTTAAAAGATGATGCTAATGTTTTTGAAGACATAAAGGCTTTTTTTCACATTTGCCGTCATCCTTTTGGTGTGTTTGTTGACATCAATGAATTCCTTGTTTGGGTTGGTGATGGGCAAGACTACTGCTTTGGCGACCACCTGTGTCCAGTGTCCACCATACTAAAATGTTAAATACAACATTTATATGTTTATAAACCTTAAATGACCATTATCCTAAACATATACTGCTTTAAAAAAAAAAAAAAATCCTTTTGCCCCACTTTCGGATTGCTACACAAACCCTGTTGAGTCCCACTTATCAATAATAAAAAGTTTTGGATATTTGTGGGTTGACTTCATGATTACAGGTAGGTTGTAGTTTTGCTCTTGTTGTTGTTAGTACTTCCTATCATTTACATATTGGGGTGTTATGATTGACAGCTCCCTCTGCGCTGTGGGCATGAGGGGGTTAGCTTCAGATTGACTTACACAACCAATGCATGCTTATTGTTTCAGTATATTAATTTGCTCTCCATGCTCTTTGATAATTGACATCTACCTCCCATGAGTCCATACTTCTATTTAAATGTCTGCTGTTTCAGAAGTATTTTTTGCCAGTTAGAAAACCAAACTGAATAGATAGGCCAGGAAAGATGACAGTGTTGCGTCTTCAAAGTACAGACATCTCAAATCACACAGTAAATTATAGTGACTGGCTGCAGCAGAGATTGTGTCTATAGAGCAGCTCCAGCAGAGTGCAGTTGGTTGCATAGAAATTTCCCTCCTACACTGACGGTGGCTCTGAAGGCTGGTGCTCCCACAGCTGTCTCTGAAGGAAGACTTTTGGTTCACAACAAAAGGATGCACACTATCAAAGAAATGCACGGCCTTGAACTCCAGCTGGTTTTTGTCACATTAGGTTAAAATCATCATGAGCAAACACTGCATAGGACATTAAGCGAGAAACACAAAATAACAACTTGTTTTTATGTTTTTATCGAAATTGAGCAGATCTTATTAAAGAAAGATGCTATTGTTTTTAAAAGTATTGATGGTTTTCAGCAGCACAACTAAACTACAATGTACACCGATTTTGTTGTTTTTCACCAAGGGTCTGGTTGTGGTTATTTTTTAACAGTTTTTATGACCACAAACTAAACAAAAAATACAAATTCAATAAAAATAATAATAGTAAAAAAATGATAAAAATCTCCCAAAAAAATTAGATTTTCGCCCAACCCAACATTGAGCACAAACTGCAAAGAAGCACCATTATTACACAAACTTTGCATACAACTGGTGGAAAAAGATTCAAAAACTAGTATTAGACTACAGTATAACAAAGATTTGTTGTTAACAGACCTCTTATGCAAAATCAACTTTTCAGAGCTTTTAGCCATGTTTTGTTTCCCTTTCTCTTGAAGTTGTATTTGGAGTGATTTGTGCATGTTTAGCAACCTTTAATGACTCATTTTCAATATACCATATCAACTATAACTATATTCTAACTTTATAGTGGGCTCAAGCACAGTATGTATTCTTTAATATGCAGTAATTGTGGTATTGAAGTCAGTATAGAGTATCGAGTTTGAAATTTTAGTATTATGACAACATTAGAAAGGTCACTGAAATGACTGTCTATGAGGTGGGGATGAGAAGCTCCTCCAGATATTTTAGATCCAAAGCTATCGATCCTGTCTCTGTCCGGGTCGATGGATAAGACAGACTGAGCCCCTGCTGCCAGCACATATCTCTGTACCTCATATCAGTGCATCTTGTCTGCAGCCTCTCCTCTGACTCATGTCCCAAGAGCAGCTTTTGTAGGATCTCTGCTCCAATGACACAGCACAGCGTTCGCCTTAAGGAAACATATGCCAGATCAGAGGATAAATACATATAAATAAAAACACTTAAAAAAAAAAAACACTTAAGATATGATATGCCACTTGCCACCCACCAGACCAACCAGAACAGAGACAAAGAGCATCTCTTAACAATCTGTGTCCCAGTTTTTAACTTATAGCTAAAGTTTTTAACTTACAGCTCAAGTCCTGACTGGATATTGTACACTTTATAGCATGGTCCCAGGAAGTTTTAAGCTGAGTTTTCTGTTTTCTGTCAGAGAACCTTTTTCAAATGTATATATCAATACACATACTAGGCAGATAACTTGCATGATATGACCAGTATTGGAAAGTAACTGAATACAACAAATGGTGAAACAAATGTAAAGCTTGTTTTTAATTTTTTTTTAAGTCTTTACACTATAATTGAAATTCAAAATGCGTGAAAGGATCAAAAGTATTCAGAATACAATACTCTGATTGGACCATGTATAGAAATACATTACAAAATACAGGTTAATAAGATCAGTCTGAGGTTAATGCAGGTTTTCTGTATTCTGTGATTAAATACATTTTCAAAGTATTCTCCCCATCACTGGATTGTCATAATTTTAATAATAAGCAACACAACTTTTGAACAACAAAACTCAAACATTAACAAAAATGTTGACTTCTTTTTGCAACTTTCTTTCTACTTAGACTTGTGCATTGACCTATAAGTATGAAGATGCCCAGCTCTATCTCTTAAAGTGTTGAGCTGCCTTTAAAAGCCAGACGTACTTTTTGAATGGGCTTTTTACACATTGATTACATCACAGCTCCGCCATTATAACGCTACATTATAGCGACATCCCTTTTAAAAGTGCTAAAAGGTGTTCTCCTTTTAACTCATCCTGTGGGCCTGTGTGAATAATGGTACAGTATGGTATAAATCATATATTATAAAGCCTTAAATAGCTTTGTCTGTTTATAGACTGGCACACTGCACTTACTTTGCCTTGCTTGTGCAGTCTGGCATCAAATATTCATCCTGTTAGGCTAGCGCATATAGGCATTGCTTTTGCATGATCAATGGCAGGTATAGAAGCATCTTAAATGAAGCACGCTGTTATGTTGAGAGGTGGGGATTGATGTAGACAAAACACAGTTGGTTGTGAATGTGCAAGTTCAGTAAGCAGATGCTGTGCCTACCACGAAACGCTGGCAAATATCCAGATACGTCATAAGACGCAGGAGACCAGGTGGGCATTTCAGCAACCCCTTTGTGCATTGTTGCTTTCATCTTACTCAACTATATTATGTGTATAGACAGTTCAACAAACTACCTCAGGCTGAATCTCTTTCACTTTATTATCTCTTATTAGGGTCAATGGGTGTTATGCATGTAGCAGATTGTGTTTTATGTCATATGTGGAAGATGTTATGATGGCATTTGTTTTGGATAGAAATGGGATGTTTAATCACAAATTTGCGTTACGGAGTTGTGAGATTTAAAGTTGCACAATTTGGATTTTTTACAAGGAGATATTATTGCTTTTGCCTGAAGTGCTTCTTTGTATGGCATTGATCTGGTCTATCTTGCATTGCAACCTGACAAATGCCCAACATTATATAGTATAATTTAGCTTTTTTTTGCAATTAATGAAGAAAAATGTCATTATATATTCCTTTCATTACTGCTAGGAATACAGTTTGTGTTAGTTTAGTTATTTCCAATGTACTATTGTTTGTAGATAAATACGCTTTGCCTTTTTCAGTTGTAATGAAGATAAATGGCAAGTATTTCTCAAAAGTGCATTAATTAGGAGTTAAGCCAGGCATATCTTCTATATTCACTACCTAATTTTTTTCTACCTAATTTCTGTGAGTGCTTGTCCTCTAACTCTGTTTTTCCCATCTTGACCAGTAGATGACAGTAGTGGTCCTCAAAATGTGGGTGTTCCTCAATACAAGAACATCACATCATTGTAATCAAGCAGTTTTCTGGGTTCATTTTACATGCAATATTAATGTTTGGTCACATGATACACTGCAGGCAATTTTAGCGAATCTTATCAGGTGTATAGGGGGCCATTTTGTGTGGGTTGCATTATAATGATTAATAGAGTATGGTGGAAGTACAGCGCACAACTGCAGATGCAACATATATTAAATACTGGAGGCTAGGATGTGATGATGTCATACTCCTAAGTGAGTGCCAAGAGAGATTTTTCCCTATTTATTACATTACATTGCATTTTAATTTCAAATAATAAATTAAATTCTCTTTAATTCTCTAATTCTTTAATTTAAGTTTAATTCTCTCAGTGGTTGAATCTGCTCATTTGTTTTAATGACTTGACTACTTAACTTGCAAGATTACAACAGAAACCTACATGTTAACAAAAGTACTTTCACTTTGTGTGCCATCTTAAACCCATCAACTGTACGAAAAGAGATGGGAGAGTAAGAGGAGAGACACAAATTCCAAACAAATGAAGTACTACTCTGTATACCATATAATGCATAATGCCAGTGTTTTTATTTTTTTATTCCAGAGATGAAAGCAGAAACAATGCAAAGTAGCCCTAGACTTTTCTCTCCTCCCGTTGCCATGACGACCATCGCTCCACCTGAAATTGAAGGTAAGTCCCAGGAGGGGTCAGCGGGAGGCGGGACAACACACGGCACTGTCCTGATTTTACAGAGCGCCCAGTCCAACGGCGGCCTGCTTTGTGTGCACACGGATCCTCAAGTCACCCGCTGTAGAGCCGAGCATGGTTCAGTCTGGAAGGGATGCCAGTTTTAGCTAGAAACCACTAAATGAAAAATTCAATATACCTACCTGCTAGGAATTGTAATTGGGGCAATGTTTATTTATTAAGAACCTGTGGTGCTTGTTTTCTATTGGGCTGTCTCCTGGACGCCCCTCCTCATATGTATTCTCTTTGATATGGTTGAACTCAACTTGCCCCTGCCCATGTGAACATGTATTCACTTAATGTGCTGCTGCTGTGTGCTGTGCAAAATGTGTGAGGCAAAAATGTCATTGAATTTCTTACTTACTCGCGGGGAAATTTTCAGTTGAATTAAAACAGAAACTCATAAAGTCATGTTTGAATCGCAGGAAGCGGTCTGAAAAAGCCCTCGCCAGAAAAGGTTTTTTCATTTGGATTTGTTTGCTAGTGCCGATGGCCACAAAGGAAGCCTATTCTCAAAATGCTTTTTTGTTTTGTTGGAGTGAAAAAGCAAACCTCAGTGCACACAGCAGAGACAGAGGAGCCAGCCCTATGAGCCATGGGAAATGTAGCATTTAAGTAAGTAGTAAAAAGTATTGCCTTTATGTTTTTAATTAAAGATTTATAAACGCTACTAATAAAAAAGGTATTGTAGACATTGTCTATGACAGCAGATGGTGACTTTACAGCCCATTCAAAAGCCAAATTCACATAAAACTAATAGCAGTGTAATTCTTATTAATAGTGCTCTGCATGCAAAATGTGCTCTAATAATTTAAAACATAATTTGTCAGTTCAGGACTGGTCCTGTCTTGTAATGATTAAGATAAATCTGTGACAACATGGTCTCCAATTTTTTTGTACATTTTTATTTCTGTTAACTATTGTCTCACAAGAAATCACTTCAAATTAAGACAGTGAAATTAGTATCCTAGCTTGTAACTCAAAATGTACAGAATCCCTTAAAAACCCCTTTGGGATCTACATCGGAATCCATAGTAGCACATCGTGCTGTCTTGTTTTTATTGCTAACCTCTTCATTAAAAATAGTTAACAGAGCAGTTACAGTGAGTGGGCTTTTGGCCAATAAAATGGTAGTGCCAACTGGAGCACGTCCCTCATACTTACTTAAATTGTGATTTTGATGGAGCTTTAAAAAGAGCTTCCCTCATATCTGCTCCCAGAGACAGACTGTTCCGGGAATGATTGACAAGTGGGTCCCGCTGGCATGCACCACGTCTCCTCATGTTGGACTGAGGCTGGGACTTGGAAGCAGAGCACTGTCTGTGTCCAAAATGATGATCCTGGACAGAGCAGAGAGAGGGAATTAACAAGATAAGTGCATTAGATATTCATGTCTGAGATTTCAAAAATCATGGGCTCTTACAGGGTACAAGGAAAAGATCTGATTATTAAAATCACTTTATCTATTGAAATACTGCTTTAATTGTCCAAGAAGCTGTTTATGTTGGCGTTGGTTTTGTGTCTGAATGATGACCGAGCATACTCCAGTCACGAGGTATCAATTGGAAAGAACCAATAGTCAGTTTAATTTTACATTTGATTTTGTTTCTATTTTTAAGATTAAATTTTATTTGAAGGGGGGGAGGATGGATATTTATTACTTTGCCTGGAATGTTCTCTACAGTATGGCAATACTCTACATTTCTTCAATTGCAGGTGCTTTTTTTATTACAAAAAAAATACCTTGAAAAATCTTCACTCTTTTTATCAGCTGGGTCACCTCCCTACAGATCTTCCTTGTAACTTGGCTTTGTTGAGAATGGCATACTGAGGAACATTCCAGAAACTTGCATATTTCCAAGGATTGAGGATTTTGCCTCAAACAAATATATTTATATTTTTTTTATATATCTGTGAGAGAGTTGAAAGACCCATTGCATTGGTACAGATGTATATATTGATTATTGTGTTTAGTCCAAAACAAGTGATCATACTGAACCATTCATTCATTAGTACACAGTTATCTAAAAAACGGTCATCTAGTAATGCTTTTGGTGAAATTTTCTAGTCTTTATTGTGTTGTATTCTTGTAAGAGAATCACATTTAATCTTTATTAGCTACACATCATAAAATATTGTAATATCATGTAACTACTGTACATTTGTACTCCAGAGGTGGCCCTTCACGCTTTGGAAACCTCCTCATTTTAGCCATAGCAATTAATTCCCAGCCTGTACCTATCGTTATGAAGCTAAATTTTAATTACTCATTTCAGGGCAGTTATGGTTTGAGCCCCGGTGCACTAAAGATAACTCACAGCAGCTATAGTGGTGATTTTTGTGACAATCAGGCCATAATTATGTGGAAGGATGCAGCCAACCGCAACAGGGCACAATGTCATTAACTCACAGCCCACCTCAGAGTTCATGGGGCTTGAGGGCTGTCATTATTTTCTATTATTGTGAGAAAAACACAAATCCAAATGAATGCAGATAAAAAACCTAACTAAGCCTGATGCTATAGGCGTAGCCAGCTGTTTGACATTCAGCTGTTAAACCTGGCTGTATTAGAAGGAGTGGGGTCACATGGATGATATTACTTGAAGACCGACGTGGATTTTCATTATGTCTGCTAATGCGGAGACCTGACATTACTGATAAATCCCCAGATTCTCTCTAATGGCCGCTAAGGAAGAGGATATGGGCAGTTCATCGTTACTGTACCATGTCTGATGTGCAGGTATTTAAGAGCTTTGGCTTATTGTCACTTTTAAGTTTTATATTGACCAAATGTGTTTATCATGGATACGTATTGATTGATAACAACATCTGTTGTAATTGTGATACCCTTTCCACAACAGGCCACTGGATGTTGTTGCATGCAATTTAAGGTATGTCTTTATTCCCATAGTGGACATTTGTGAATTAATATAAGAAAATACTAACCATGTTTCCACTATGTTCTCCACACTGGGTTAAATGGCCTATATTATGGTGTCTTCTGATCTATGTTATACCATCATATTCCCATCAAACCAGAGTTGTGTTTTGTTTCATTCACACATGCTTAATATACAAAAGTCCCAACTAAACATATTTAGGCTCAAAACAAAATCACTCCAATTCCACCTTGTGATGCCATGCATAAATTAAAACTTCATACACCTTCACTAGAATTATTTGGACGATTTCAGTTGTGTACTTGCCAATCTCTGCTGAACAAAAGGTAAAAGGTAGCTCTTAACTTGAAAACTACTGCTTTATGTCATCACAAGGTGGAACAGAGCATTTTGAGATTTGTAAATGTAGACTAATAATAAATGGTTACTCAAGCATGTGTGACTGAAACAAAACACAACTCCAGGTATGTTGTGAGGAGGTCACAATATTGTAACAAGGTTTAAAGCTCACAAGAGTAAATTAGATTTAATGTAAGACCTTTAAAATTAAGATTAGGACTAATCATATGGCTATGAAATAGTAGAATGACAGATGTGCCTTGTTCTATGGTTAAGGTATAATTTATATTTATGTAATTGCACTTATTTACACATAGTTACACTTATTACCACAATATTACCATGCTCTCGTTGTATTTTTGAAAGCCATCTATATCAGTATGTCACAGCACTAATAATATTTTTTAGTGTATTCTTATTGACCACACAGCCCATTTCTACTTAGCATAATGTTCCATGCAGTTTGACAAAAGTCAGTAGTTATTATGCTCTTTAAACACTTTTCTGTCTTGAGACCTTGTGTTGCTTCTTTGAGAGGGGGCCATGTTTTCCAGTATTCATGACAGATGTTTTTGGAATTTGCCCTAAATATTTCATGGTCTGATGCTCTGACACAGAGGCTCTCCCCGTGTTCACCACAGCCTTATACTTCTGCTCTCCTTGAAACGTCAATGAGAAGCGATCTGAGATTTCGTTGATGTATCCTGAAAAGGGAGAAATCGAAACAGGGAGAGGCAGACTGATTGTCTTACCAATAAGTGCTGATACATATTTTGACCTAATGTTTTCAGACATCAAGGACAGTCCCAGTACTAAGGAGGTCTGTAAGGATAGATGCATGCTGAGATTTCTTCTTATCCATCTTTTTAAATAACCCCTGCTGAAATGAGAGATTTTTTTTCTCAATAGTAAAGCAGCAAATTAGTAAATGTTTCCCCGTAAAGTATTATTGTAAAAGCAGCACGTTGTTACAGACTCAAACTGCTGCACACTGTTTACATCTAACAATAAATTATTTTATATTAGGCATGCACCGATCCTATAATAGCATCAGTTATCAGCGCCAATCCTCTAAAATTTGCTAGATTGGATGTTGGCTTCCAAATATCGGTTCAGCTGATATGCTGTTTGGACATATACAGTAAGCTGCAGCAATAAGACTATTTACTGGTCATAGCTGGCCCAGAAAGTCTTGTAATGTTTGAACTTTTACACAATTATTTGAGGAATTAAAAGCAGCTACATATTTTATTTTGTCATATTTTATTTGTGTTTCAGTTGCTGTACTGGTATTGGTTGATATCAGTTATCAGCAGATCAAAATCTATATTGGAACTGAAAAAGCTGGCTCGTTGCATCCATACTATGCCATAAAACTGGAAATAAAAGCTGTTAGTAGAGCAAAGATTGACTGGTCTTTAGTGGTCCATCCCAGTTTCACTTCCGCGTATGAAAAAAGCTGTTCATTTGGCCATTTGAAAAAATATTGATCTTCTAAACTCGCAAATCCATCAGCTCCTAAATCACCTAATGCACCATTATGCTCCATTGTATTTGCAGTGCATTGCTGCTGTACCTTTCACTCTTTTCTCACCGCTGCTGCGTGTCCTTGTACTGTGCAGTTTTTCTGTACGTAGGGTTGACTTTCTGCATCACTCTTTGACTTTTTGTTCTAATGTTTTTGTTTGACTTTGACATTTTTGT